TTTCCAGGGAAGGTGAGCAACTAATGTGGCCAGTGCTACCATGTTTTTCTCCTTCTCTTTCTGAATGTTGATGTTCTGTTTCATTATCTGTTTGCTTGTCTGGTGAACCATTCGCAGTCGTACCCAATTTTTGTTTTGTAAAAGTTCCAGCTTAGATAGAAGATAACACTGACTTGCTTTACAGGGATGTTTTCCGAGGAAAGTTGTAGATTTCTGCATCTCACTGTTGATCAGAACCTATCATTCTTTGTTCTGAACAAGATTTTCTTTTCATATTACTGCTGTGAAATATTTACCAGTGTATGGCTTAGGAGTAGGCCCATGCCAGTGCTGTGATAGGACACAGCCAGTTCTTAACCCATGTCCTTTCTAAAATTGTGCTTTCCTTTACTGCTGTCATAATTTTCTTTCTGAGGTAACTCAGCTGTTTCTTTCCAAGTTTTTGTAATTCCTTATGTGACTCATCCCTAAAATTATTTAGTTAAAACCAAGGAAGATTGTTTTTATAATAATTGTAAATGCACAGTGAGATCATTAGTGAATATAGTTTCTGACCCTGGGTTCCCAGGATTATTTCCTATACCAGGACTAATTTCACAGACTCACAGACTTTTTGCCACCAAAGAGGCAAAATAAGACCAGCATTTTTGCATGAATGCTTTTATTGTTATTGCTCTGCATTATGACACTGAAGTTTACTTGTGTCTTACACTGCATAGTTTTACAGCCAAATAACTCTCTATAAAAGAGACTTAATTCATACCAAGCCACATCAGAGGCGATTCCCCCAGCATATACCCCTGATTTCAGCTCTCAAGGAGAGATTCTTCAGGGTACACAAGCTAGACTGTCTGCCACACTGCAGCACCCAGTCACACGTGTTGCTGTTACACTTTGGGATTTTCCACACAAGTGAATGCTCAGCCTTGGCCAGTGTCAGGTCCTACCTTTGCTATGGCAGAGTCCTGGTGAAGGGCTGGTCCAAAGAGCAGGAGGGAATTCTATGTCTTTGGAGCAGGTGCTCATTGGATTTACCCTCTGAGAAATGGGTTATTTTTTGGTATCTTGCCCAGCACACCTTTGAAACAGGCACTGGTCTGTGTGTGCTGGGAAAGCTCCCTGCCTCTCACAAGCAGGGACACAGAGGAAAAGTGAGATCCTCTTGTCCCAACTGAGATCCCTCAGTTTCTCGCCGTGAGGAGGGAAGGGCTGTTCTTTAGCTGACTTTTAATTTGGACCCCAGCCACAGAGTGAGTCCTTCCCTCTACTGTGATTACTTGCTTACTGTTCAGGATGAATAAAAATATAAGTTACATTTCTTATTTTAAAGCCTAGTACCCAGAGGTCATCCCCTCATTTCCTTGACCACCAACACAAAATTGGCTCTGATGGGGGAAGGAGCAACACTGAGGCAGAACCCACAGCCACAGTATTTCGGGATGCAGTACAGTATGAAAAACGAATTTCCCAAACTCCCAAGAATACGGAGAAAGAAATTTGTTTAACTATTAATTTTAAACCTTGCACCTTATGCAGAAAACATTGAAACACAATTATCAGGCACTGAAATATGATTTTTGTGAACGACAGGCATTCAAAACAATTTCTAGCACTTGGAATATAAAAATTGCATTTTGAAGAAAACAAAATAGAGTCAATGTTTAGTTTTAAATATGACATTTTTCTGCTAAAATTAGTTTAACTATTTCCAGGTCTTCAAAATTTAAAGCGTTCATTCTTTTTAGATTTTCCCCCAATATTTTTGTAACCAATCAGCATTTGAAAACTGAGTAATATTCTTTCTCTTCCATTTTCTATATTTTTTTCTGTTTTATGACAGGTGCTTTAAAGAAAACAAGAAGGGTCTCTTCTCACAGTAGTTGTGACCTGTTTTGAACATTTCAAAAAGTTGATATTGAAATAAGAACTTACATCTCTGTTAAAATATAATCTGCCTCCTATGCAACTCCTTTAAAATGATGAGCAGTGAGGATACATTCACCTATTTACAACTTTGCGTGTCGTACTCAGCAGAAAGCCAGGCAGTAAATCCAGTTTACCTTCACGATAATTTGTTGTTTTGATGTGACTTTGCCCTCGGCGTTTAGTTTCTATTAAATGCAAAAGCATCGCTGTTCCCGGGATTTGTAATGATTTAAAAGTTTCTGAGGAGATTATTCCTCGGGAGAAACTGGTTTTTCCTCCTTCGGTTTATCAGACCTCTCAACTCCGGTGGCTTTGGTGGTGGCATTTTCGGGTGGACGCCGGACTTGGAATTTGGATGGGGTCACCCAGATCCCTGCCTTTCCGCTTCGCCCGGGCAGCAGCGGAGGCCGACGAGGTGGGGGGCGGCAGGGGCATCCTCCCCCGTGGGCAGCGGGGCAGCACACGGCACAGGAGGCACGTGGAACGCAATGAAATAAATGAAATAAAATCAAAAGCAGCGGGAGATGGGTTGACTCGCTGGGTAAGCCCCTATCTTCTGCCGACCCCCGGTTCCCCCCGCACCCCGCCAGCCTCCTGCGTGGCCGGAGCTCCCCTGCGCCTCGGGCCCCGCTGCTCCCGGGCAGTCCCGGCCGCGGAACCGGGGTCTCCCTGCTCCCTCTGCCTCTGCCACCCGCCGGGCCCTGGGCTCAATTCCCCCGGCGGCCGGGGAGCCCCTCCAGTCCCGGCGTATTTGCGGGAGGGAGCCACGCTATAGGAAGGGAGGAAGGCAGGGAAAGAAGGCAGGGAGGGGGTGTCAGCACAGCCCAGCGCGGCCTCATCCCCCCCTCACTCCTCCCACCAGTGCGTGGTGCCTCTTAACCCCCGGGAACCTCCCTCCCTCGAAGCATTACTCCACTTTGCAGAACTCGAGTTGATGAGGGAAAAAATACTTCTCGGCCGCGGCCAGCCATGAGCTGTTTGGATGTTATGTACCAAGTCTACGGTCCTTCCCAGCCCTACTTCGCAGCAGCCTACAGCCCCTACCACCAGGTACGTGTAGCGGACAGCGGTGAAGAGGCAGAAGGTGGGAGGGGTATCGTCTGGAGGATGGCCATCTGGGGCCTCACCAAAGGGAAAAAGGGAAAAGGAGAAGGGGAGGGGAAAGGGGGGGCGGGAGGGGGAGAGATCTGGGAGCCTGCGATGGTGAGCGGAGCAGAACCGCATCCCACCTTGGCGCGGGGCTCTGCAGGGTACGTATCCCAGCGGCAAACGACGGGCTACGGGATGCCTTTGGAGAGAGGGGACGATTTTAAACCTCAGAAGGATTTTTAGGGGGTTTGTTTGCTTGTTTGTTTTGTTTGTTTTAAAATGTTTGCTTGTTTGTTTGTTTGTTTGTTTGTTTTACCGGGACGGGCTATTTCCGAGCGCGGCGGGTCGGGGTAGCGATGTGCGTGGGGACCGTCGGGAGCTGCGAGGCCGGGCTTCCCGGGGCATCGCTCACCCCTGCACGCCGGCATCCCGGCCGCTGCCACGGAAGCCTCTTGGTGCAGAGATTTTACTCCGGAGGGGTGCTCCGGAGTTACGCTCTAGAAGTGGGGGAGGCGAGAGAGACGGGAGGTTGCGGGGTTTTCGCCCGGTTTGGCGGTGGCGGAGGAAATCACGGCCGCGAAGGGGAGCAAGGGGCTACAGGATGCTCTCTTCTCCCGGGGCGCTCTCGGCGGCGGCGGGACCCCGGGACGTCCCCCGGGCCCCGCGGCTGTCGGCAGCGGCCGGCGCCTGCGAGACCCTCGAGTTCTTCCCGAGCTGCAGCCACGGTCCCGCCGCCTCACTGCGTGTAGCTCCGCCCGGGCGGTCGCGTGTATCAGCGAATCCCGAGGTTTCAAGAAAAGGATGGCTCCGGCCGCGGGGATGTTTCGGGCACGCACGGCCCGTGGTGTGCGGGGATCTGCTGGCGCCGGGACTCGCACGGTCCCGCGTGGGTCAGGCTCTGCTCCCCAGGCTGCACCTGCTGCACACCGCTTTCCTTTTAACCCCTCTGCGTTCCCAGTTTTCCCCTCGCCCTTACCCCTTCCAGAAATTAATTCTTCCTCCCCCACCATAACGAAAAGGGGGATGGATATAGAGAAAGGCGTCCCGGGCCCGAGTCGGGTGCAGCCCCCGCTATGCAGCGGGCCGGGGCCAGCGGCGTGGCTGTCCCTGTGCCCCCTCCAGCGCCCGGCAGCGGGGCCCAGGGCCCGTCACAAAAGCCAGGTAATGTCTTTCCCCACTTTGCCTTCCCTCCCAACTACCCTCTCAACCCCCTGCTTATGACATTATTAAGGGGGATGACCATTACCTCAATGGCCAAACAGGGAGCCAAGCGGAAAGGCGGTCGTCGCGACGAGTGACATTATCAAATATATCGCGTGTCTTGGCCCAAGACTCTGCCCCGTCCTCTCGGTTCTTCCCGCCGGCTGCTTGCCCCAAGGCTCTGTCCGCGGCGGCAAGCCCGGGCTCCGTGTCCCAGAGTTTATTGCTAAGAAACTCTCAGCAGCTGCAGACACGCTAACGTGCGTGAAGACGGGAAACATTCGGCAAACTTCACAACGCCCGCTGTTTTCCCACTCGGCGGAGTCAGTAAAAGGAGATTAATCTTGTAGTAAATACCTGGAACTTCTTGGTGTCCAGGGAAATGCTGAGTTTTGCCCTGAAGTGTGTTTGAGACTGTCAGGTTTTTTTCCCCTCTTTGCTTCTACCTCGCCCCTGTGGGTTACAGGACACTCTGCATCGGATAGATTTTCGGAGCCGGGGATCGAGCGGCTCTCGCCTTCTCCCAGCTGCCGTGGGTGCTGGGCCGTCGCCCGCCCGTGCCCCCGCATTGCAGCCCCTTGGCGGCCGCCGTCCGCTCCGGAACCAGCTGCAATGAGCCTTTTTTTTGCGGGGCTTCATGCGTGAGACCAGGCGGTGTGACCCCCGCCCGGCCGCGCCTTCCCCACCCGGCGGCTGTCTTGCTCCATCCCCTTTGGCATCTGTGGGGTTCGATTCCCAATCCCTATTTGCAGTCATTTCACTGCCCCCGGACTACAGACGGCGATATGGGGGTGTGGGGATTGTGGTGTATGCCGAGGAAAAGGCGGGCAGCCGAGGACCAGACTTGGCATCCTCTCGGAAAGACCGCGGGAGAGGGCTGGGCGCTACCCGCCGGATGGCACAGGGCTGGCCAGCGCACCTTGGTGTGCTGCGTGACAGGCTCCGTTTTCTTTCCTTCCCTGCAGAAACTCGCCTTTTACTCCAAAATGCAGGAAGCCCCGGAGAGCGGCAGCAGCGCCAGCGTGGGCAGCTCCTTCTCCAGCCACGCCGCGGCCAGCATCAAGGAGGAGGACTGCAGCCCCGAGAAGGAGCGACCCCCCGAGGCCGAGTACATCAGCTCCCGCTGCGTCCTCTTCACCTACTTCCAGGGGGACATCAGCGCCGTGGTGGATGAGCACTTCAGCCGGGCGCTCAGCCAGCCCAGCAGCTTCTCCCTGGGCAGCGCGAAGGCGGCGCGGAACGCGGGCTCCTGGCGGGGTGAGCGCCCTGCGGCGCGGGGGGCGCGGGGGATGCGGGGGGCGGCGGAGGCCCCCTCTGGCCCGGCACATCCTCCTCGCCTCGGCTCCGCATCCCCGCTCCCTCCTCCCTCCCACCAGCGGCTGGTGCCCGGCGGTGGCATCCCTCCTCCGAGGCTACGAGTTGCCAGCCACTTGGCTCTTTTAGGGTAAAAAGGAAAAAATAAAGCCCCTCAGATTATGCAGGGAGGCCATGGCTCAGGGGGAAAGCAGCCTGAGTGGTGATCGGGGAAAACAAATTGTCTTTTCACTGCAGGTGCTTTACCTGGAGAGGGTTACCACCCAACTAGTGGGTGATCTTCACTCCATGGAGTGACTCCCAAACTGTGACTATGACCAGTGTATTCCTCATTGACCCCCGCTTTCAGTTTGGAGTGTTCACAGTGATGGGAGCAAAGAAAAAACCAAATGTGGGAACAATCTCATCAGCTTCCCGTCTCAAAAAAAAAAAAAAAAAATAAAGGTGTGTGTCCCTGTATCTTGCCCTGCATGTATCACCACCTCGATTGCAGCTGAAGTGCTGACAAGAACTCTTAAATTTCTGAAAACAAGGGCTTGCAGATCTGCCCAAGGCAGTGTGCTGTCAAGGCCAAGGCCATGGCTTATGCAAAGCTCTCTATATTCATGCCTGATTCACAGTGGATAGGCCCACAAGGGTAGTCAGAGCAGAGGGGAATAACCTTCCCCACACTCAATCTGCCAGAGTTAGGGCTGGCACTTCCTTGTGGGCAGTCTTAGTAACCCTCCCTCACAGGGCCACCTGCTCGGCCAGGGCTGGTTTCCCAGACCTTGCACAGATTGCTGTCTGTAGTGCCTAAGAATATTTCATGGGTGAGAGATATTCAGTGCTGGAATTGATGGCAGTAGAGGAGGTTTTTTTGCTCATGATGAACTGCTTCCTTTTCTCCCAAGCAATGCCAAGGCTCAGAGCTGACATACTTCCCTGGCAAAAAATTATTAGGAACATAGTTTTATTTCATTCAGGAACAGTGTGCATTACCAATTAATCATACATAATATCTCTTCATAACATTAATAATCACCAGTCCATCTTGCATGTTGCTAAATGGGCTAAGAAAATGTAGGGTCTTTGTCTTTGCCCTGCCAATCTCCAGCAAGGGAGGGCTGCTGAGGGTTTCCCAGACAGGCTGACAATATACCTAAGAAACAGATGGCTATAGTAGATGGAGAATTGCCCCCAGATATTTGAGTAATTCAAATTTGCCTTTAGTCACATCTCTCACTGTTCCTGCCCACTTTGCTACTGCACTGAGGCAGCAACTGCTTTCCAGGAAGCGTTGGGCATAAACACTTAGATGAGGAGATTATTACAAAAACAAACAAGAAAAAGCCAAACCTGAAAATTTAAGGGGCGTGTAGTAGCTCTCAGTTTCCACTACTGAAGAAAAGAGATGTTTCTCTTGCCTCAGGTAACAACCTTTTGCCCATCTACATAGTAAGAAAAACCTGGAGGTTATAGTTGCAGCTTCATGGATAAGCCATAGGACAGGTGTGTTGGATATTTAGTCAGAGAGGAATCTGTATTTGTTTGGAGCAAGTTCTCATGCTTGCCAGCTTTTCGTGGAATAAAGGGTGGATCAGGGAGGGATAGAGTCCTAGGGAAAGGAGATCAAGTCTTGTCAGGTGTTCTCATTGCTGACTTTCTTTCCCACTTCCTTCATCCAGATGGTTCCTTCCCAATGAGCCAGCGCATCTTCCCACCGTCCTTCTGGAACAGCACATACCAGCCCTCCTCGGTCCCGGCCAGCCTGAGCAGCCCCCTGGCAGCTGCCGCCCACAGTGAGCTGCCCTTCGCCGCTGCCACCGACCCCTACGCGCCCACCTCTCTGCACGGCCACCTGCACCAGGGCGGCCCCGAGCCCTGGCACCACGCCCACCACCATCACCATCACCACCACCACCACCACCCCTACATTGGGACACAAAGCACTGCCTACCCCCGCCCCACCGCCATGCACGAGGTCTACGGGCCCCACTTTGACCCCCGCTACGGCTCGCTCCTGGTGCCCACCGCCTCCGTCCGCCCCCACCGCCTCACCCCCGCCTCCGTATCCACTCCAGTCAGCCCCCCCTGTGAACTGGGCAAGAGCGAGGCGGGTGCTGCTGCAGCCTGGACGACACCGGGCCCCTTTCCCAATGCAACGGGAGACATGGCACAGAGCATTGGCCTCAATGTGGACACAGGTAATGAGCTGCCCCCGGCCCCTCCAGATCCCCTGGCTCAGCTGCACCCCTGCTCCCTGATCCCACTGTCCATAGCAGTAGGGAAGGATGCATGGGGAATGGCTGAGGTTCTGCTGTAGGGGAATGAAGTGAGGGTGGAAGCCCACTGTGTGACACCTGAGCTCTGCCCTGGGTGTTCTTATCAAGCTTTCAGGCCAGGCAAGTGAGGAAGGATGGGACAGGCCAACACCTCACATCTCCACAACATTATTTGAATTTCTGATGCCTTCAAACATTCCCTGAGGCTACAGGTTGCTTTGAGGTACTTTTGTCCTGGCACTGGTCTTGCTCCTGCATTGAGCAGCAAGAGCTAGGAGCAGAATGGAGCAGCCCCAAAGGTCACTGCTTGGTCCCATCCATGTGCTGCCCTGAGAGGTTATTTCTAGACACTATGCAGGTTCACAAACTAGCTCCTCTCCTTATTTACCTTTTCCTTTCAGTTTTTGCGATGAAAGCACAATTGCATTTGCTGAGCAAAAAAGGCAGACGTCTTCCCCTGGTAGTGCCTGTTGGGGTGTCTGGAACCAAGGCTATGGCTATAGTGCTGACAAAAATGGGTACGTAGGCAAAGTCAGCAATGACAGAACTTGAGTCAGTGGTTGTGAAGGGAAGGAAAGTCTGCTCCATGCCGATTTCATTATTGCAACCACTAATGGCTCCCTATGATGTCCTCACTTTAAGCAGAAGGGACTTCTCCAGTCTGGTTTGGGCTCTTCTTTCACAGCCTTCTGGGGCTCTGGCGATCCCACGCTTTAAACTGATCTCAGCTGGCAAGAAATGCAATTGTTTTCCTCTGTTCTTAAATGCCTGTACCTATTTTTCTTCCTTTTTTTTTTCTTCTCTCCATTCTCAGGTTTGCAACCTCAGGATAAAAGCAAGGATCTGTACTGGTTTTAGAGCTGTCCTTCACTCTTCTTCCCCTGGCTCTCCCCTGTAGCTCTCTACCCATTAGACATGGTGGCATTCAGAGCTGAAATCGGGTCAGTTTGTAACAGCTTCTGGTCTTGGTTTGCAGCTCGCCGTTACTCCTTCTGTGGTGGATCCCTTCTGAGCTGATGTGCTGACTCAAAGACTCTCAGATCCCCCCTTGCCCTTTTCCAAGCCCACCACGGCCCTGCTGCTCAGGGAAAGACAACGGGAGTTAAAAGGACCTGGCTTTGCAAGGGTGGTACTTTAGACTTACTTCAGAGAGGAAAGTCGTTCTGTTGCAAGAAGAGAGCCAAAGATACTGAACTTCTATTTAAGCAGACTCCACAACCAGACCTGCAACCAGACTACTCTGAAGAGTCAAATGACATCACGGATAGTGATGCAAAACCACTGGCCTTCATACAGGCAACAGAGGAAATTGTGGAGGTTTTCTAGTGGTGTGAATATTTTTTATGGCAGTGAAAGTTATTTCTTGAATGCAACCATGGGAAAGCTACTCAGCAGTTTTGAACTGGATTTTTATTTTGCATTATTGAAAAGTAAAATGAGAAGAAACTGGAACTCATGAACATATCAAGGAACTGGTCAGATTTTTCAGCTTTGTGGTTGTGAGTGGCAAGTATCTGACTGGAGCCACCTGCCCTGGACTTACAGATATGCAGCTGTTCCTCTCACAACTGCTTAAATCCCATAAAGATAAAAACTAAGGTGGCACTTCTCAGAGTTTGGCACATTACATTTGCTGCATAACAGTTGTTTGGTTGGGGGTGGGGTTGTTTGTTTGGTTTTGGTTGTTTTTTGGTGGTTTTTTTCTTTTTTCCTTTTTTTTTCTTTTTACAATAAACATTTTCTGGTGAAAGCTAAACCCTCTTAAAGCAGGGGGAGAAAGGAATCTGATGAAGAATGGCTCACCTCCAACCCAACATCCTTTAAAGGTAACAGCAGAACGAAAAGCTCATGATGGACATTAGTTCTGAGTTGCCTCTAACACTTCCCTTTGTCTACTTGTTTCTGTCATTTTGCCACTTTAGTAGCTCTTTTCTTTGGGGTTTTTTTGAAAGAGGGGAAATAGATATTTAACAGTAGCAAAGCTGTATTTAAAGGTATCGCCTTCATTCATCCTGTGTACTTTAATTCTTAATTAAAGAAATAAGAGAAATGAGACAAACTGGAAACTTCAGGATGAAGCAGAGAATGTATCTCTCATGTGGATGAAGTGAGTTATTTTATTATTTTGCTTGAAATAGAAAGCCAGCTGAAAACAGCTGAATATATTTTCTTGGTGAGTAAAATACACAGTGATAAATACAAAAGATAAAAAAATATGAGACCATTTTAGAGTATGGTGTGGCTAAAGTAAGGGAGCTGCTCCATATGTCTTCAGCTAGAAGAGGGGACTGTGGCGTGTAGAACTGCTATTGCAGTGGTAAATTAAAATGTTACTACCAGGTGATGAATAATTAATGCAATGGGGCAGAAATGGCACTTACCCCACACTTAAAAGCTGACTCTTTTTATAGACAAAACATCTGATTCTAATACTACCGTGTTTTGGGGTTTTGTTCTGTTTGGTTTCTTTTATTAATGTAGTGTCTTTGAAGCTGACAAATTTTAAAGCATATAGTAGGAAATTCCTAACATTACCCCCTGACACTGGGAGCAGAGGTAGAAAATGAATTTCTGTGCTGTGATCCGAGTTTTTACCTTCAAAACTCTCACAAAATTTGGCATCATGTTCACTATGTCTCAAGAGTGGAGTTATGAATAACCCAAAGTTTCTTCTCCTAGGTTTGATGATAACTCACTTTCTGGAAAAGAATAGGAATCCTAACAGAAAGAGTTTGACAAAGCAGTGTGAGTACATACAGTGAGAATCTGACTAGGTACACCCCCGGCCAGAGCTTAGCAAATGGCAGGGGGGGACTTGCAGTGATTCCCTCAGCCAGACAAACCCATGGGCATTTTTTCCTCAGCCTCCAAATAGCCAGAACCTGGACAAGCTGGAAGGGCAAGGGAGTGACCCCATAATTTACATTATCTAGTAAACCAAAAAAATTCTGAGGTGTTTAACAAGGAAGAAGGCACCAACTTTTTGCAGGACAAAAGTTACTAAAAACAGTGTTTAACTTCAGAAGCTTAAAGTTAGCAGGGTCATTTTGTGAGCATTTTCCTGAGGGCTTTTTCAGGCGGTTTCTAAAGACCTATTTTTTAAAAAAAGATAAATCTGAGTCTATGATTGGTTGTGCTTTACCACGATTATTTATTTTTTCTTTCTTTTCTTCCTCCCCTCTTCTCTGCAATTTTTTATGAGGAGGGTTGAGCGACACAGTCCAAATACATTAGGAAATGTTCAGGTAAGCATAAACAAGTAATTTGCACCATTGGTATTTACAATCATTTTGACCGTGAATGTATTCAAGCACAAGAATTAATGCAATTAATCTATGAATATTAGTTTTGGCATTTGTTCTGTGGGTATATTTTTTACTGTTTTATCATGAAAGCATCTAAACACAAAAGCCAAGACAGTGGCTCAAGGTGCTAAAAGAACAAGCAACTTTTAAAAAATGCTCCTACTCTGGTTGGACTGCAGCCTGAAAGCACACATGTCCTGTTTTGGCTAATCCTTGCAGTTGTGCTCACTCCGTGTTATTCTGACTCCTGAAGAAGCACCAGCCTCTAAGGGCATTAGTCTTTGCAGCACTGGGGGCCCAGCTCCTAGTGCAGTAACAGTGCACGTGACCTCTGTGCCATTTCTCAAGTCTGTTTTATTCCTCTTTGCATCATAGGTCATTACTCCCTTAGTCATGAATGTTTGTAGAAAATCTGGAATTAAAAAAGAAACCCTTCTTAGAGGTTACGTAAATATTACCTGTCACATGCTTGTCACACACTGAAAGGGATGTGAGTCCCCATCTCTGCAGCCTGGACGGCAGATCCTCCTGCTGTCCCTTTCTGAATGTCATGCACCACACTGTGCTCTCTAGCTACCCACCTGACAAACAGACTAGCCCAGCTGGGACAGACAAACAGACACAAACAACTTCATGCAGAGTCCAGCGAAGGAGGCAGAGGGACACCATCTGCTGCAGAGAATGGCAGTGCTGGACATAGCAAAGATATCTGCTGCTGCCCAATGGCAAGAGTGTCCTCTCCACAAGGAGTTTCCAAAATGAGCTCTGGATGTATTCACCACAGGTATGTATTTCCCTTTCTGAAAATCAACAAAGCATGAAGGAGTACTCTTTTGATGATCTCTGAGGTTAAAAGTGATCTGTCAAGGGAAAGATGGAAGTGGGGATAGGACATGGTATTTGTGGATGCAGTTTCCATTTTATTTTAATTAGGTCTTTGCTTCAGTATGGCTGCAGTTGCAAGAATGAACCACAAAACTCTTAAATTATATATGTGCCTCTACACTTACAGTCTAATGCTGAAGAGATTTAGAGTAGTGTTGCTTACTTCTTGCCTACTTTTCCAGTGCATTTGCCATAGGAGCCCCCAGCAGAGGAGGAGGAAGGGAGGGGACAGAGGGTGAAACAGAGATTGAATAATCCCTTTTGCGTCCCCTAGGCTGTGTGCTGCTGCCTCTGGGGAAATGTATCCCTTGGGTCAGGAGCTGCCGACCCTTCCCACCTTCCCTTTGAAGTCATATTTCGGCTCACAAGACAAGCTCTAGTTAGGGCTTATATGCTGGGCCCTTCTTAGAAGGGAGAAAAATGCTCCTGATGGCTTTGGATGCAGCAGCGTTCTCTAACTGACAGTTGCTGTTCATCTTTTTCTGGGCAAGTGTTGTAATTAACATGCCCTTCTGATTACAGGATGAGCCAGCTCCTGTGGAGGATTGCAGTGTCCTGGCTGTCTTCCCGGGCCTGCCACCCAGAGGAGCAGTTGCAGCAGGGAAAGGAGAGAGTCCTATGGTTATTTTCAGGAGTGAGACATTGATTTTGTATGCTAGGCAATTTTGCATAGGGAAATGCAAGTAGGAGATCATAAAAAAAAAAAAAAAAA